GGGCAGGAGTATGTGTGTGGACAAACTCGTTTATTTTTAGCGCTGGCGGGATGAAAACTACCACTGGGTACACTGGTTGCATTGGCTACACTTAATTTGAGCGCACCAGCTTGACTGCTTCCATACATCAATATTCATTTAGGGGGTATCGAGAAGTTAAAATAGTTTACAAATTCGAGTACACGTATCATAACATAAGCCTACGGGCTTGAACGCCGAACGGGGCATCTGGAGCAAATGTGTACCTCTGTTGTTTATCAAGAAATTATCATTAACAGTATATCTGTGGTCCCCTACTTAACACGGAGAGGTAGATGTAGGATCTACAGCTGGGTGACGATTTGTTGTCTGTTGATAAAACGAAGTGGTCAATTCATCACTCAAGATTCAGTACTGAGCAGGCTTTGTCAGCTTGTATGATTTTCTGATGTACTCCAGCTCATAAAGTGTTGCCTCATGCCAACTTGGAGGTAATATTCATACTGATAGTAACCTCTTGTCTATTTCTTTGAGAGCAGTTCTGTTTGTTTTACAGCACTTGCAACATAATTTAGGTCATAAATGTACAAGTGTCGAAGATTAGACGTGTTACAAGAGAGTAAAAACACACCCAAAAAAGGAGAGAAAAGGACGACAGATGTTAGATAGGATAGAAGGAGCAAACCACACCAGAGCACCCCCAACCACCCCCCAACAGTGTTGGAACATTGCAACCATTCCTATCACTGGTCTAGGAAATTTCCCATTCTAACGGTATTAGTACATGTATGTACTTTGAATCGATAATTATTTTATTTTCACCGTTTGACGAAACAGTAGGGCCACAATTATAATCAAGACGAGTTGATCGCTTTTATGGACAAGCGGGCTAACGCAGATTTCGGGGGTTTCCAGAAATCTTGACCTACACCAAAAGTGCGCATTGCCCTACCAATAGGAGGAGTTTGGTTTCATGTGAGTTTTTGGTTATAGAGAAAACCCTCCTTGTCTTTTAAAGATAGATTTCATGGGTCCAAAAACTTTACCTTTGATTTTCTCAAAACAGCATTTTTCGGGACAGCCCCGTGGTGCTTAAAAGCGACCATTTGATACCTGCAGTTGGCTGTCACTTTTGTCAACAGCGTTCAAACAAGGCTGCCCCGTGTGCATGTGGGAGGGTAGTATTATTCTTACGTTTTTAAAAAAAAATCTAATGAAGACAGCATGACGCATTAGTTCTTCAACTTCACGCACT